TGCTCAATATCACTAATCATCAGGGAAATGCAAATGTAAACCACAATGAGATATCACTTCGTACCTGTCAGAATGACCATTATCAAAAAGACAAAAAATAACAAATCATTGGTTAGGATGTGGAGACAAGGGAACCTTTGAGCACTGTTGATGGTAATATAAACTGGTGCAATCACTATGAAAAACATTATGGAAGTTCTCCAAAAAATTAAAAGTAAAACTACAATATAATCCAGCAATTCCACCTCTGAGCTATCTGAAGGAAGTGAAAACACTAACTTGAAAAGATATATATATTCCCATACTTACTGCAGCAGTATACAGAACAGCCAAGATATAAAAACAACCTAAGTATCCATCAATAGATGAATGGATAAAGAAATTGTGGTATTCATACACAATGGAATACTATATAGCTACAAAACAGAAGGAAATATTGCCACTTCTGACAGCATGGATGGATTTTGAGGACATTCGCTAAGTGAAAAAAAAGTCAGACAGTGAATGATAAAACTGTATGATCTCTCTTATATGTAGAGTCTAAAAAAAAAAGAGACAGAGAGAGAGAACAGATTGGTGGTTGCCAGAAGAGAATGGGGAAAGTTGGGAAAATAGGTTGAGTGAGTCAAAACATAAAGAAGAAAAACAAAATTAAAAACAAAGTAGAATGGATATACAGCCACACATCTATCTATCCATATCCTCATCCTTAAAGAAGACACATACATGAATGCTTACTGTAGCATTCTATAATAATGCAACTCTAGCATTAATCCAGAATGTGTATCGTATCAGGTAAATGGATAAACTGTAATATAGTCAAATAATGGAATATTATACACTACCACTGGAAATAAAATACAATGAAATAATTCAACACAGCTAAATCTCAAGACACATAATGCTGAGTGAAAACAGAAGACTGCCATTTATATAAAGGTTAAAGACATACAAAACAATGCTATATTATCTATTAATATATACATAGAAAATGCCCAGAAATGACCTCCTTTTCCTGGTCATGATGCAGTAACTGAACCAATCTTACCCTCACTTTGTAAACAATTACAAATTGAATAAAATGCATGAAACAAATGTTTTCAGACATTGATTATCAAACAGTATAAGACTGTGATCCCCAAGAAATGAAACAAATAAGGTGATCCCTACAACTGACTGATGTCCTAACTAAAAGCAATTAATTTCCAGACCATGAGCAGAGACAGCAGAAAACCAAATAGTCCAGTGGAGTTGAGTGGGAGATGAAAATCAGCATTAGGGGAGTAAGGCACCTAGAAGTTGTGAGATAATTCTAAAAACAAGGAAGTTGTGCAGAAAAGAGCTTCAGAAATCTATACAAGGGTACAAAGTAGGACAAGAATGACTAGAAAATTGTAAGATCAAGGAGTTCATAGACACAGTAGGGAGACCAGAGGAAGTGCGGAGTTCTGTCATCACTTGGGGGCATTTGGTGGAGACTCCAGAGAGGTCAGATCTTAGTATGTGCTTAGTCACTCAGTCGAGTCCAACTCTTTGCAACCCTATGGACTGTAGCCTGCCAGGCTCCTCTGTCCATGGGATTTTTCCAGAAATAATAATGGAATGGATTGCCATTTCCTCCTCCATGGGATCTTTCAGACCCAGGAACCAAACCTTTGTCTCCAGTATCTCCTTAATAGAAGGAGGATTCTTTACTGCTGAGCCACCAGGAAACCTCATTAGATCTTAGTTCAGTTCAGTTCAGTCGCTCAGTCGTGTCCAACTCTTTGCAACCCCATGAATCGCAGCACGCCAGGCCTCCCTGTCCATCACCAACTCCCGGAGTTTACTCAAACTCATGCCCATCGAGTTGGTGATGCCATCCAGTCATCTCATCCTCTATCGTCCCCTTCTCCTCCTGCCCCCAATCCCTCCCAGCATCAGGGTCTTTTCCAATGAGTCAACTCTTCGCATGAGGTGGCCAAAGTACTGGAGTTTCAGCTTCAGCATCAGTCCTTCCAATGAACACCCAGGACTGATCTCCTTCAGGATGGACTGGTTGGATCTCCTTGCAGTCCAAGGGACTCTCAAGTGTCTTCTCCAACACCACAATTCAAAAGCATCAATTTTTCGGCACTCAGCTTTCTTCACAGTCCAACTCTCATATCCATACATGACCACTGGAAAAACCATAGCCTTGACCAGATGGACCTTTGTTGGCAAAGTAATGTCTCTGCTTTTTAATATGCTATCTAGGTTGGTCATAACTTTCCTTCTAAGGAGTAAGCGTCTTTTAATTTCATGGCTGCAGTCACCATCCACAGTGATTTTGGAGCCCCCAAAAATGAAGTCTGACACTGTTTCCACTGTCTCCCCATCTATTTCCCATGAGGTGATGGGACCAGATGCCATGATCTTAGTTTTCTGAATGTTAAGCTTTAAGCCAACTCTTTCACTCTCCTCTTTCACTTTCAACAAGAGGCTTTTTAGTTAGTAGCAGTGCTGAACTGGAATGAAGGTTATTCTAGACCCATCCTGTAAGAGCTTAAAACCCAGAGATGAAAGGATCATCAAACTGATCCACAAGGAACTTAACTCCCTGGAAGAACAAAGCTCAGTCCTCTTTTAAGAAGGTAAATACAAATCTAAATACTCAACAAGGTAACATTCACAACATACAATTTCTAATAAAAAATTATTAGACATGTCAAGAAGCAGAAAAATGTTACTTATAACAAGGAGAAAAATTGGTCAATTGGCTTAGCAAAAACAAAGATGATGGAGCTAGCAGAAAAGGACATTAAAAGGAACATAATAAGAAATGAAGATATTAAAAAAAACAAATGTTAACTTCTGGAGCTGAAAAAAATACAAACTCTGAAATAAAAAAGTTCCCTGGATTAGACACTACATTAAAAAAAGATTAGCAAAACTTCCATGCAATCTCAATCAAAATTCCCTCAGGTTTTTTTTTTGGTAGGATTTCCAGTATGATTCTAAAACTATACAGAAATGCAAAGATCCCAGTATAGCCTAAAAATTTTAGGGGGAAAAAAAACAAAAAACAAAACACAAAGTTGGAATATTCACACTACCAAATTTCAAAGCTTATTATAAAGCCACAGTCATCAAGTCAACATAACTTAAGGACAGACCTATAGATGGAAAAGAACAGAAAGTCCAGAAAAACTAACAAACTGATTTTTAGCAAAGATGCAAAAGTAACTTATGAATAAAGAACAAAACTTAAAACTGTTTTAAAAACTGCTGAGTAGTGGGTACCAAGGCCTTTGATTTTATTCTTTGTTCCATGCTTAAAATATCTCTAGTTAGAAAAGGTTCATGCTTTACCCAAAGAGCAAGCTTAATTCATATTAAATTATCATTGTTACTAGACATTTAAAGGAGGGTTTTTTTCCCCATGTCTTAATTCACCCATGTTTATTTGATGTTAAGCACAGGACACACACACACACATATATATAACTGGAGAAAGAAAAGGATTCTCATATTTCCAGATTCTTACTAGCCACTCCTACTTACTTGCTTAAATGTTTCCCTCATCACTTCAAACAACTTATTAAAGACTGTAGTTCACGGATCTGTCTCCACACCTTGGACTCAAGCTCTTTTATTTTCTTTGATGGTTCCATCATTTTTAGGGCACAGGGACAGTATACTTCTCAGGAGTACAAACTCTATAACCACAATGCTCTGGTTCAAATCTTAAATTTACCATTCAAAAACTGCCTGTCTTTAGGCAAGTTACTTGTCTATCTACCTAAGGACAAATACTGAATACATATGAGGTACTTAGAGCTGAACCTGGCAAACAGTCCTGCACAGTAAACATTAACTATTCTTTCTTATTTTCTTCTTATTGTTACTATTACAACTATCTCCAGACTCCTCTTTGTCCCTTCGTATATTCCCCCTATATCAAGGAAGGTACTAAGTCTTACTGATTGTTTCCAGAACAATCTGACCTTCTTCTTATTTCTGGTCATCAGCAGTGGAGCACTAGACTCCTACAGCCTTCTTCCTATAAGCCTTCCTTTTCTTCAATTTCTCTCTACACTAATCTATTACATACTATTATCAGATTAATCTTTAGCCCCTTCCATACAACCCCCTTTTCTATAGCAGGAGTAGTTTTATGAGTCTCTATACTAGGAAAAGAAGTGGGTTTTTTTTTTTTTTTTTTCTGAGAACACTGTGGGTTCTCAACTAATGACTATTATTAAAAAGTATGGTGGTACAGAAAGCCTCAGGTTGAATTTTAATCTTACAAAGCAAGCTAAATTTATTATTACAAGAGGAGTAACAATATATTATAAATTGACTTTGACTAGCATTAGTAGTTCTCTATCACATCAGCAATTGCTCTTAATATAGTTTGAGATATGATTTAATATAAAAATTATCAGTCTTTTCTGAGTAATCACTTACCTCTCTGGTCCCTACTCTCTTGCTATTTAAAAAAACCTTATAGATAGGTCATCAATCTCTGTACCCCCGATCCTAAAAGTTGATACTAATTGAGCACAACATTCTTTCCTGATAAGTTCAGAATAAGCATAGTTATCCAGGAAATTAATACCAGTGAAGGAACTGGCATAAGTGAACTTATATGTCACTTTGAACTACATTATCTCCAGAGGTTCTGCTAATTTTAAATGTTAGAGGTCTGCGCTTCTATTCTAAAGTTCTACAAATCTATTCAAAATTCTTCTCCTTTAAAATTTATAATTCAATTGAGACTACTTCCAGAAGTATAGAAAGCAACCTGAAATCTTTCATAACAATTATTTTTGTATAGCTTTAAAATAATTTGGTTTAATATTTAAAACTGTACTTTGAAACAAGTTCCATTTTGGTATTTCAGTATTAACTCATATTTAGGGCCCAGGAATTTGATATGGGCACACAAAAGTTACACAGCTACTCTCTGAAATGTAGTTCTTGAAAATTTAAACAACATGAAACTTAACTGTTTTTTGTGTGTTTTTTTTAACATTTACCTTTTTTCTTCTTTTGCTCTCAGCTGTTCTTCCTGTCTCAAAACTTGAACCATTACAGATTCAAAAACTCCACTTGTCAAGCCTGCCAAACTTCGTGGTGTTGACCGACGCCTTGTTGAAGTACATGCAGTTCCCTTCTCATCCTCCAATCCATAATAGCCTCTAGATGTAACTGCTATCGTTGTCTTTTCTCTCAAGTGCCTTGGAGAAGAATAAGTCATTCACAGGTCAAATCTTCTGGGTAAGCAATAAACCCCCTCAACCAGCATCTTAAGAAGAATCCTTTTTGCTAACTACATAAAACTTAGTTAAACCGTGCTTAGCTATGTTTCAGATTTTTATCCTTGCTACATAATTTCTAATTTTCCTTACTCATGTCATAAAATCAGTCTAAGTGATAGTGTCTTCCCTACATTAAAAAATATAAAACTGAAGCAGTAAATCAAGAATTAAAGATTTCTTTAATTAAAAAATTTGTAAAATTAAATGTAGCACATCTTTACATCTCTTTATAGATTTCATACTACTTATTATCAGTATGGGAAAGTATATAATAATAAAAAAATATTTTGGGAGAGAAAATTTATGATACATAAACATGTTGAAGAAATTATAAACAAATGAAGCATTATAATATATAAATATTAAGTGGTAAGCATTATGATATATAATTGTAAATTTAGAAACTTTCGGACTAAACTATATAAAGAACTTAATCTAGAGTTCTTCTTCAACCTCACCATAAATATCTCCCTTACCCCATATTTAGTAATACAAACTAACCTAATGCTTAAAGATAATGATGAAAAAGTTTCTCAGCAGTTTGATTACCCATAATTGAATAAAAACTATTTATTTACACTAGAGAAACACTAAATTAATCTTACAAATTTTTAAGCCTAGACCAAAAACTGACTTCTGAATTTATGAGCTAACTGTGAAAAGCATTAGGGAAAATAACTGCTGTTGTACCTTTGCAAAACATGCCAGAGCCTCTGAAAGCTTTGTACAGGCTGTTTCTACAATGGTAAAATCAAATCAGTCCTAAAAGCAAGCATTTATTATGCTGGAAAGGAATGAATATAAATTTAGAATAGAAGTCGATCCTGCAGTTGTATTTCCCTACTGTCCTACAGGCACAGCTTTCTTTACTACAAATAAGCTAAAGGATCACCAAAACAAGATTTTATGGCATGAAATAAACTCCTAAACATCTTGGACTATATCCACAGTGGTTTATTACTCTAAGTTAGAATAACTTTATAACAGTCTTACTCTCAGGCCATCTAGGTCCCATGAATAGGATGATTGCAAGGCTCTACTGAACTGTGGCATTGTTACGTGTTTTCTTTACTATGAGGAAATAACATTTTAATTAATTCAGCTTTTGGCAGGGCATAAACTTTTAAACTGGTTTTCCAGTGTTGCTAAAGAACTTGAGCTAATCTATCCATACTATTTCAGGCTGTGATCTTTTAAGCACAACAGCATACATCTGTATAATAGTTAATTGGGCTAGCAGTAAGAAATGTGGGCCCAAGGAAAATAAACTGGCAATAACAGATACTGAATGGGTATATGTGGGTTCATTTTAGTAGTGTGTTCACACTGGCAGACTGACTAGCTCTGTGATTTTATTTATCTCCTCGTCAATACTAATGGAAGAGAACATTAATGGACAATATTACACTAAAACATGAAGACATGTCAGAAGTCACAGGGCATGGAGCACGGGGGTGAAGAAGAGATAAGGGAAACATTAAGTCATATGCTTAAACTGTTATGTAAACAAGTCAGAAACTAAATTTTACCCTTTAACTTCAGTCATTTAAGTACAGAAGATGAAGTTTCAAACTACTTTTTTTAAACATTATTTTCTCAGAACAAAAAGAAATTAATATCCTTTATACTCATCAGAAATAAGAATTTATAAGCTTTGGTAGTTATCATTCATAATTCAAATACAAAGAAAACTGTTTGCCTTGTATCAATACGTAAAGATAAAAGAGTCTAAGGAAAAAATTCTTATCCAACGTGTGTGTATGTAAAACTGTCACAGCCTTCTCGGAAGTCACTTTGGTAATAATCATTAAGATTTAATGTGCACATATCCTTAGACCAATCATGCTTCTAGGAATTTAGCCTACAGACATATATCCACGACTGTGAGCAATAATACACACATACAATTACGTTTGTTATTCAAAACGAACAACATGGAAACAAACGTCTTTCAGTATAAGAGATCAAATAAAGTCACAAACATCACACTGGAGAAGGAAACAGCAACCCCACTCCAGTATTCTTGCCTGGAAAATTTCATGGACAGAGGAGCCTGGCAGACTACAGTCCATGGGGTCGCAAAAAGTCAGACATGACTGAACACGCACATCACACCACACAATATCATCATCTATTAAAAGCAATAGGTAAATCTCTATGTACTCACTATAAAAGATGTCCTTATTACACTGCTGAATGTAAAAAAGTTGTTTCTGGACAAAACATAAGGAATTATATACAAGTATATGCATATGTAAACAAACATATGGCATCCAGTAGTGGGTGTTTGTGTACATGTTCAAACTCTTACCTAGATTATTGCAGTCTCTCTGTGACAGTCTCCTGGCTTCTACTCAGATTTCTCTACAGTCTATCCTTTAGGCAACAAACCAAGTAATCCTTTTAAAAAGGTAATTAGATTAAGTCAGTGCCCTGCTCTGTCTCCTCTAAAGCCTTCCAGTTATACTTAAAATACAATGCTAAGTTTCGATGGTCTACAAGAGCTAGTGTGATATGGCTCTCATTTACCTCTGCAGACCTTATCTTCTACAATTCTGCCTTTAGCTTTTTGTTCTGGTCACAAATGTCTCCTTATGATTCTCAGTCACACCAACATTCGCTTTGCACTTGATCTCTCTCCTATAAGGCACTTTCCCCATAGATATTTGTATGGCTAGGCATTATCACATTATCACTTTACTCAAATCTCTATTAAAATGTCACCATATCTGAGAGGGCTTTCTTGTCTGTTACCACAACCAGTAACAGATTCCCTGTCATTCTCTATTCCCTTACTCCAGTTTCTTTTTCTTCATGTTACTCATCATATACTACATGATATAATTATCTATTTACTTGGTAATTATCCATCTCCTCACCACAATGAAAGCTCCAGGAGGATAAGGAATTTGTTTTGTTAATGGCCATTGCCTTCAGAGCCTCAAATACTAAATATACATAGTATTTGAAAGGATACAAGCCAAAAAAAAAAAAAAAAGAAAGGATACAAGCCAAACTATATTTTAAATTTACACACATAAAGTTGAAAAATTCCAGTCGTCTTTTCTGTTGTTCACAGTAAAAGAATCCTTATTAAACATCTCTTGCTAACTAGTAGTTTTCATTTTCATTCATTAGAGAATGAAAGGCAATAAAATAAGATGAAAATAAGTCTCACTTCCAAATAGGAACTGTCAGATAGTTAATCAACCTTCAAGTTATACAAAAAATAACTCCCCTTTTCTAAAATTGAAGCTTTTTCCTTCCTACTAGGAAAATTATTCTATGAAATCAGTCTGGCAGTAGTTTGAAAATAACAGATTGCTAACTGTAAGTAAAAGCTAAGCAACAATTACAGTTGATTCATTGACTTTTATAGTTATCCTTTTTTTCCCAGTCACAAAGCATGAAAGGTCTTTTCTGTGCTGTTGATGATTCCAAATTTCAGAATTCAGAGGTGCAATTTTGTTTAAAATGACTAAAGTAAACATTAAGATGGAAATGAGCTGAGTTTTACTTAATGTTAACATATGGACTAACACTGACCCTCTACTAAATATAGATATTTGGAAACGTTTCCACTATTACATGACTTTAGGTTACTAAAACAATGTAAAAGTGACACCTATAAAATTTTGTATGCTTAAAAGTTGGAAACAGAATGATCTAATCTGCTTTAAAATATTCTATATGAAGAATTCCAACCTCTTTTAAACCCATTTACTTAAAACATTTTAAATGCAATACAGCCCTCAGGGTTCGGACAAGGAAGAGCGAATACTCAAAAGGAGGTGATGTTTAATGAAGAATCTGTTTACAAATGTGCAACTAAGCTTAACGGAAACTAGGAAGGGATGGAGAAGACCAGCCAGAGAGCATTTGATCACTCTAGACTCAATAGGGGAGGGGAGGGAGTAGTTACTGGAACCAAGAAGCTGCCATTGTAGGAGAGCCACGCATGATGATGCACAGTTACTGACAACCTGCAACACAGGGAAAAAGAAGCTGTTAGAATAAATATTCCTATCTCTGCCAATGCCTCCAATTCACTGAATCCAATTAGAAGCCAGAGAACAAGGCAGACAAACTGAAGGAGTCCTTAGAGATCAGCCTCTCAGGACACACAGCATAGTGCACAAGGGTAGAGGATAGATCTGAAGGTGGCTAACTATGGTTTTGGAGAAGACTCTTGAGAGTCCCTTGGACTGCAAGGAGATCCAACCAGTCCATTCTAAAGGAGATCAGTCCTGGGTGTTCATTGGAAGGACTGATGCTGAAGCTGAAACTCCAGTACTTTGGCCACCTCACGCAAAGAGCTGACTCATTGGAAAAGACCCTGATGCTGGGAGGGATTGGGGGCAGGAGGAGAAGGGGGCGACAGAGGATAAGATGATTGGATGGCATCACTGACTCGATGGACATGGCTTTGAGTAGACTCGGGAGTTGGTGATGGACAGGCAGGCCTGGCCTGCTGCGATTCACGGGGTTGCAGAGTCGGACACGACTGAGCGACTGAACTGAACTGAATGTATGCATATCAGGAAGCAACAGTTAGAACTGGACATGGAACAAGAGACTGGTTCCAAATAGGAAAAGGAGTATGTCAAGGCTGTATATTGTCACTCTGCTTAAATAACTTATATGCAGAGTACATCATGAGAAACGCTGGGCTGGAGGAAGCACAAGCTGGAATCAGGTTTGCCGGGAGAAATATCAATAAGCTCAGATATGCAGATGACACCACCCTTATGGCAGAAAGTGAAGAAGAACTAAAGAGCCTCTTGATGAAAGTGAAAGAGGAGAGTGAAAGAGTTGACTTAAAGCTCAACATTCAGAAAACTAAGATCATGGCATCTGGTCCCATCACTTCATGGCAAATAGATGGAGAAACAGTGGAAACAGTGGCTGACTTTATTTTC